AAGAGCCAGGGGAAAGAAAGCAGAGGTGCAAGAAGCAAGAGATGAAAAGCTAGATTACTGGTGTGTTTGAAAGAGGAGAAGAAAGGTTAAGGAGAGTCCATGGGTGGGCGATTGCACTGTTAGGTGCAACAGAACCGTCATCTTGGAGGATTTTGAGGAACTGGGAGAAAATCTAAAACTAATCTCCTTTTGTGTCTCTTCTCTCCATCTGTTCCATCTTATCTGCCAGTCAGATTCCCTTTTCACTCTCCGCCTCATCCTCTCCCCTGTATTTTTTTTTCCTTTGGCCGACCAGTTTTCATTTCCTGCTTTGTTCTCGAAATTTACATTTGGATGAATGTATCGACGATCTGACATACTCGCTGTAACCAGCTCTCTGTGGACGATGATTAGACTAAAATTGACATTGAGAGCCGGCCAGGTTTTAATTGATCTTCCTCCAGACGTTTGTAGACCCCCCCCCCCGCCCCCCCAATACTACTCCACAAATGCCAGCTGTTTAAATAATCATTAACAAGGACAAAAGTGCTGTTTTTGTTTTTGTTCTGTTTCAGCTGTTGAGTCCTGATCACACAGACCCAGCCTGATTGGAGGTTTTTATCTCTGTTCTCTATTCTAACAGTCCCATCATAACCCACTGAGGCACACATACGCTGCTCCTGCAGCCAGCTGAACAACTACGCCTCATAAACGGGCTGATTTGCAGGCTATTCTCTGCTCTCCTGTTCTCATTTAATAAAGTGCTGTTGTGCTGTTGTTACCGCGGGAGGGAAAACATGAAAAAACACCCAAAGCTCCTCAGACGCAGCAAGCCGCTGACAAATCACACCAGTTATTGCTGCGTGCATGCCATTATTGCTCAGCTCGCCGGGTTTACATGGGCTAGTGTGTGTTTGGGTGTGAAGTTTGCACTCTTATCCTCCTGAGGTTGCTTTGGCAGGCTGGCAGGTGCAAACGATGGGGAGCTAGCAAGAAACTGGCATAGCCATGGATTCAGCAGATGGCGTTTCACTCAGAAAGCCTTTGGTCCCCACTTTCTCTCACTCCTTGTTAAACATCTTACAGCTCCTGCCTCCCGGCATCTGCACGAATGTTTGGGCCTCAATTTTGTCTGCATTCAAATGATCCTCCAGTCATACAATCATCTTTTTATTTTTTTCAAACCTGCTGCAGGCTTTGTTTTTCTTTGTGTGCCAGATCTCTTTGACATTTTATTTTGATGTTTTTAATGTGGGAGTTTTTGTAAGAAGTCAGGATGAATTTGCTTCATCTGTGTCACGCTTTTTGTTTCAAAGTTGTTGCAGAAAGTATGTTTTGTCTGCAGAAGGTGGTGTCAGAATCAGAAAAATAAAACAATGAAATGCACAAGAAAGATCAATTTTGTAGTTAGAAAATGTGGCAGAAAGCTGGATGATAGCACGGTTTAGTCTGTTATAACACATTTCTGAAAGAGAAAAACCCAGCTTTTCCCCTGGAGAATGGAGCAAGTTGGGAAATAAAGCATTCGGGGCAAAAGGAGCCATCAAAACGGTGCTTGTAATGGCAGACACACCTCTCTTCTAGAGAACAGTAACGCATTAATGCTCTTTGTTAATGTGCATGCATGTTTGTGTGTGTAAGCTCTTTTACCTCAGCGTCATCTGCTGTGAAGCCTGCGGTTGTTCTTAAAAACTTCATGACACAAAAGAGGAGGAAGGATGAAAAGAGGGGGAAGCACGTGCTAATGAAAACACGCCGCTCCGAGTCGAGAGCGAAGCATTAGGAGGTGAAGGTAAAATCCACCCAGCGCATTCTGTTCCCTGCGGGTGGCGTCGGTGCATTCGCCTGATAATAGTGCTAATAATGACTTGGCAGCTAAAAGATTCTGTGTATACAAATCGGAAACAAAACAGAGTAGTGCTGAGAGGTCTGTGTGCATAGACGGAATGGTGGCGAGGTGCGTGTAATGTCATTAGCCAGATTTGTGTGTGCTGCTTTGAATGATGGTGCTTTCAGTTAATGCAGCTAAGCTACGGGGTGTAGCCAAATACAGCTTTGTCTGCAGAATGCCTAGAAAGTAAGAAACACAGCGCTAACAGCTGCTAGCTGCTGCAGGTGCAGGACTTTCTCGCTCAGGAGTCATGCAAATGAGCAGATGTTGCAGTGAAATGGATCAAATGTCCAATAAGCATCATGTTTTCTCTGTTTTCAGACAAACTGACAAATGCACAAGTTTTCACCTTGACCTCATCCATTTGGGTCTAACATTAGTATCATTATGGAAATTAATTTCACAGCGACTCCCGTTAGCGAAGTACAAAGATACGGCTCAGTTAATGATGCAGGTGACATTCTTCGTTTCTCTGTCCTCTCGCGTTTGACCTTTCACCGGGTTGTTAAAGCTTCTGCTACATTACACCAATTACCACAGCACAGCTCCCCGTTTCTCCTCTTCTTTCCTTACCACTCTCCTTAATGAGAGGCTTGGAAATGAAATGTTTCCAAACAGGGTGTTAATGAAACATAGACAGATTTATTAGTCATAACTCTCCAGCTAATCATTTCCCCTTCCTAATAATTAGCCTGAGCTGAGTAAATCTTTTTAGGCTGCGGTCAGAGGCTGCTGAACCGATGCCAGAAACGGCCAAGAAATCTTACTCACGTTTGATTCTGAATGCTCGCTTACATCACCACCACGTTTTTGACTCCTCCTTACTCACAATCTGTTTTGTTTTTACGGACCTTTTGGTTAATTAGCATCCAAGCTGCAAATGCATTTTGTTTTTCAGGTGTTGTGGGGAGGCTTAATTTTCTCAGAAATAATGAGAGTAAATTTAATCCATTGATTTCCTTTGCAGTAATTATTTTTATTTAATGGCTTGATATTAAATTGAATCACCATTATCATGAGTAATGATCAGAGCACATACCCACCACAGCAGGGTGTGTGTGTGTGTGTGTGTGTGTGTGTGTGTGTGTGTGTGTGTGTGTGTGTGTGTGTGTGTGTGTGTGTGTGTGTGTGTGTGTGTGTGTGTGGTGGTAAAACTAGGACAGATGTGTCATTTCATGGTGTCACGCTGAGGGGGGACTAATGATTTACTGATTCCATTTTTCTAGTCATTCTGATTAGCAGTGGGAAAATTATGTAGAGAGACAGGAAATGAAGGAGAAGAGGAGAGGAGATTAGAAATGACATGTAGGAAAGGAAAGGAAGGAGAGGACCTGAAACAGATGGAAAAATAAACGAGGGACATGAAATGAAATGAGCATTATCATTTCTAGAGCTGTTTACGTCTAAGAAATGGAATGTTTAATTTACTTAGTGACGTCAATCGGTTTTAATAAACACATCCATCCATCCGTCCATCCATCCATTCATTCATTTGTCCATCCATCCATCTTTCCATCCATCCATCCATTCGTCCATCCATCCATCCATTCGTCCATCCATCCATCCATTCGTCCATCCATCCATCCATCCATCCATTCATTCATTTGTCCATCCATCCATCCATCCGTTCGTCCATCCATCCATCCATCCATCCATCCATTCATCCATCCATCCATCCATCCATCCATTCATTCATTTGTCCATCCATCCATCCATCCATCCATTCATTCATTTGTCCATCCATCCATCCATCCATCCATCCATCCGTTCATCCATCCATCCATCCATCCATCCATCCATCCATCCATTCGTCCATCCATCCATCCATCCATCCATCCATCTGTTTGTCCATCCATCCATCCATCCATCCATCCATCCATCCATCCATCCATCCATCCATCCGTCCGTCCGTCCATCATCCATCCATCCATCCATCCATCCATCCATCCATCCATCCATCCATCCATCCATCCATCCATTCATTCATTCATTCATTTGTCCATCCATCCTTCCATCCATCCATCCATCCGTTTGTCCGTCCGACCGTCCATCCACCCGTCCATCCATCTGTCCATCCATCCATCCATCCATCCGTCCATCCATCATCCATCCATCCATCCTTCCATTCATCCATCCATCCTTCCATCCATCCATCCATCCGTTCGTCCGTCCGACCGTCCATCCACCCGTCCATCCATCCGTCCATCCATCCATCCATCCATCCATCCATCCGTCCATCCATCATCCATCCATCCACCCATCAACCCAACATTCAGTCCATCAAAATCATCCACCAATCATCTTCTGCTTTTCTAGAGTCATTTTACGGGTCAACAACCTAACCAGGGACGTAGTCCCAATGTGTCCCAGGTCTTCCTCTAGGGTCTCCTCCCAGATGGATGTTCCCAGAAAACCTCACTAGGAGGCATGTTAACCAGATTCTCGAGCCAACTCAACTGGCTCCTCTTGATGTGGAGGAGCAGCGGGTCTACTCCAAGCTCCTCCCGGATGACTGAGCATCTCACCCTCTCCCTAAGGGAGAGGCCAAACACCCTGTGGAGAAAACTAAACCTTTCCACCAAACCTAGTGGCTTAAATGTAAAGACTTCTATCATGGACCTTTAACACAACCGCGTATAACAATGTAAATGACTCTTTACATTTATGCAACTAATGGAACCAGTTTGTTTAACTTGGTTAAGTAAATTCTACATTTCATTATCTTAGAGTGTACTTTTAAAAACTGATTTCATCCCTCCTTTATTTGAAGGTCACTCCTCCATCCAAATGTAGCTCACTCTCTCCCCTTCAGCCTTACTCTGCCTGATGTGCATAATCAAGTTAGTCACCTACTGCTGCCAGTTTCCCTTTGTTTGATCTCCTCTTGTCCTCCCACTTTGTTTTTGTCACTTTACGTCTCCCTTCTTTTTTTATGTCTCTTTTTTGCCCCATTTCTGTTATCAACTTTCCTCATTTGACTTTTCCTGCAAAAACACTCTTTGATTTTTTTCTCCTGTTTTTCATTTTGACCCAATTACCTGCTTGAAACGAAACCATTGAAATGGCAAACAAAACGTGCACATGAGAGAGTGTAGATGCGTGCTGTCTTGCTTCATATCAGGAAGTAGCCAGTCACTTATGTTTACACTTGTGTCTCAGGGTTTAATGGCTTTGGTGCAGTAAAATGACAGCATCATCACTGAGTGCTCATTTTAATGATCAGAGGACTTGGAAGTCAGCGCAGCTCTGCCTTGTGTTAGCCTGGAGTCAGACTGAGGGGGAAATAAAAACACAAACACATCTTCAGGCTTACAGGCCAGTTAATCAAAAGCTACAAACACCAAAAGGAAACTAGCAGCGTTGTCTCTTGACATTATTTTTCTCTTTTATAGCCTGCAGAAAACAATTAAATTGAGAATAAAAGAAGATAAATTAGAAATTTACGAGCGAATTGGCCACCCACGGGGTTCAAACTTCACAGTCTTGATGTCCTGAATAAATTCATGCCCATTTGTATGAAATTAGGCTTTTTTTTATTACATTATATTTTATGGAGCTGTGATTTAACAAAGAGACTTTCAGGATTTCATCTGGTGTTCATGCAGGTGACCGTAGAGCGCTGTGGCTTCTTCCTCGTGTCGAGGGAGGCGAATACGCTCAGTTATGTTTTTGAGTAAATCTGCTGCTCGTCTTATGATGGACTGGCGAGCTGCCCGACGTGTTTACTCGATGTCTGGGTGAGGGCTGGGATGGGATCCAGCAGCTTCCTGTGATCTCAGTGGGAATAACACTGAGTGAATGTTGCAGATTATGAGGTGGAGTTAATGAAGGTGTAATTTTTGAGGCTTGCTCACTGACAGGTTTCATCTTCTCTACCTTCCTGTTGCATTGTGGGTCGGTACAACCCTGTATGGTGGATGTAGATCATGGTTCACAGCCCAATTCTTCTCTTATTTGTCGTCTCTAGTTTCTCTTCAGGCCTGAGTTATGTACCGATTGTGTTCTACTCGCCCTTTGTTCTTGTTAATTCTCTCTCCTCTCAGCCTGCATCTGACATCTTCATCCTCTCTTGTTATTTAGATTTAACCTCTTTGCTTTGCTGCTTTTTCTGTGGGGCCATTTTTCCCTCGTGCCTTTTTCTTCTCCTCCACTCCTCAGCTCCTGTTGTTGCAGCACAAACTCTGCCTCACTCCTCCTTCTGTCTGCATCCCTTATGTTACCCTTGGAGTTTCTATTCCTATAGCCTCCTCCCCGCCTCTCCTTGCTCTTTCCCTCCATCTGATTGCTTGTTAGTTGGTATGCAGCCTCGAACCCCCCAATGTGCATTCTAGCCTGTCATCACTCTCTTTTTCCATTTCCTTCTCCCTTTTTCTCTCTCCTCTCGTTTTTTTTTTCAGGAACCCTTGTCCAGTCATTTTCACACAAAAAAGGGGGGAGGGACTGCATAAAAGTCAGAAGACTGGGAGAATAAACAGATTGCAATAGAAAAAGCACACGTGCTTTTTTTTAACAAATGAATGTTTTTGCTTTGAGGAAAACAAATAAGAAAACTAAAGAGCTGCAAGAGTGAGTCAGAGAAAGAGAACAGAGGAGGGGCTACGATGAGAATAATTTATGGATGGGGGCTCGCTGGTAGAATGACAAATGGGTCTCGAGTGACAGAGTATTATATTAAAAAGTAAATTGATATGCAAATGTGGAGTGTGTGGCTTTGGAGGACAGGGATAGCCTGTTGTCCTCGCCAGAGTGGAACTGAGAGACAGAGAGAGCAAGGTGAGGGCTGGGTTGTGAGCAGTCCATTAACGCGCTTTTGTGTGTGTGTGTGTGTGTGTGTGTGTGTGTGTGTGTGTGTGTGTGTGTGTTTGCTTGATTGTCCTGAGAGTGTGTGTACTTTAACTCAAGCTGGATATACAGCTGAACATGTAGGATAAGTGTATTTACTGTACGAGACTGCTACGTATAGTGCAGATGGATGACAGCTAAGTGAAGCCATAATTCGTCCCACAGTGGCTGGCGGTGGTCATGTCAAGCTGAGATACATCAAGTGAGAAGTTGTTGGTGCAGAAGGGCTTTCCTGACATTTTTAAGTCTCCGATGACATAAAATCCTTTGTCGTGCTCCCCCAAAGATTTCTAAAGGGCCAAAAATGTGACAACAATCATGGTAGTCATTTAGTGACATACAAATGGAGGGGGTGAACATAGCATTTTATGACATTTTATGTTTTCTACGGTCAATACAAAACAAGCTTATGAAGTTGTTTGCACTAGGTCCTTCTCACGTGATCTCAGCAGTTCTATTGCTGACATTATCAGTACCTTCCAGAATGAGCCGTTTCAGGCTCTGCCACTTTAAGAAAACAAGTTGGAGCGGACCACACATATCCCTTCCCTGCTCAGGCTGCTATAAGCTGAGAAGCTCTGTTATCCGGATTTGAGCCTCTGCTCCTCCAGCAGCTCTTGCACATGAGACGTGGTTCTTTTGTACTGAACTGGTCTAGCCATACTCCATTAGAGCCTCAACAGGCCCCACCATTGGCTTGAGCAGTAGGGTGTCCAATGACAAAGCTCTCTTGGTTTAGTGGGTGGGATGATGCGATGGAGCGGAACAACCAAGACAGGGACAACTCGTTTGAAACAGCTTTGGCATCAACTTTGTACTATTTAGACTTTGGCTTTTCTTTGAGTTAAGAGCAGATAGAGGTACTAATGTTAATTGTTTAAAAAAGATGTATTTTGCATCTTCTTTGACAGAATATGCCCTGTGTACTGACATCCGTAGCGAGTATGTCACGTTGTTCGTTGTTCAATAGCCTGTGGGGACAGTTTGAAAGGCAACCGTAGATCCCGCCCCATGACTGAGCTCTCTCTAAGGGGCGTGGCCATATATATATATATATATATATATATATATATATATATATATATATATATATATATAAATGTGTGTGTGTGTGTGTGTGTGTGTGTGTGTACACTTATTAAGGATGGCTTGCCAGGCTAGTAGGGTCCCACGTTGCATTTTGAAAGGATTCAAAATATGACTTAACATAACATGTCCTGTTTAAAATAAAAATAATTAGATCTTTAAATCCTGAATAGATGAAAACACACAAAACACCCAATCATGACTCACATGTTTACCCTTGTTCAGGCTCCATAACATGCTGTTGCCGTGCCCAAGGACACTTCAGGAAAGTGCAGGAGCTATAAAACTCTGGATCCTCTGACTGGGAGGCCACCAGCCAACCAACCACTGGGCCAAAGACTCGTTATGTGATTCATTTTTGAAAGGCTTTCAAAGAAGCTGCTAGAAACTCCTGGAAAAGAATAATTCTAGCTGATCACATGGAAATTATTCATTTCTTGAGTAACTTTTTTGAATGTTATAAATAGTAATCTACCTTTAAGTTCTTCAGCATGGTTTTTAATATTCTTTTGGACAAAACATTAAATCTTGATGCATAAAAAAGGAAAATGCAGAACTGAATTGTTACTGCAAACAGTAATCTCAACTTTTGCTGGATAAAACAAGGAATAATGCAAAACCACTCTGCCACTTTTCCCCAGAATAAAAAAGGTAATGCATTTTAATAAAGGACTGAGAGAAATTAGAAGCATCGTTGAATCTGAAATTGTTTATGTTTAAGATGTCTTTTATCAGACATAAATAAATAAATACTGGACAAGTTTATGTTTCTTTAAAATCTAAAAATAGATTTCATTAAGTAAGCTGACCTTTATTCTTAGTTACTTGTTTATTTTCCTTTGAGATGTTGCCTAATTGTTGAAAAAAGGAAGATTTGCAAATGAGAAGGTGAACTGTTTCTTCGTAGAGTTTTGCTGTTGCTGATCAGCTGCCTTTTTTGACAAGTCAGGAATAAAAATAAGAAAATAAATACCACTTTGTCTTGAAATGGTCTCTGCATTGTCCTCCTGAGTCCAATTCTCGTGCCGTTAACAGATGAACCAGAGGTCAGCTGTATTCAGTGGAAGGTATTAGATATCTGTTTGGAACACGCACACCCCCAGACACAGCTGTCTGGGGAAACAAAAGCCGTGGCCGCGTCAGATTTTTGTGCCATGTTTGAGACTGCAGTGCTAATGAGTCATGACACTTTAAACTGGAGAGGAGGAATGAGTTGTGCTGTAATTACTATGGAAATGTGTTCATTTCCCATCAGGCACACAAACACATGCAGCCATGCACTCGCTGAGACATCTAGCAGTGATGTAGGGTGTGTGTGTGTGTGTGTGTGTGTGTGTGTGTGTGTGTGTGTGTGTGTGTGTGTGTGTGTGTGTGTGTGTGTGTGTGTGTGTGTGTGTGTGTGTGTGTGTGTGTGTGTGCATCCCAGAGGGATTCCCACAGTTGGAGCAGAGGTGTCACCCGTGTCCTCGTTCCCCATATGTTTTAAACACATGCCCCACAGCAGAGAGTGTGTGTAAGTGTGAGTCAAGGGGGTAATGATAGTCCCCTGGTGTGTGACTAGCTTGAGCCCAGCTGATAACCAGTTGGGATCCACTTCCCCCCCACCAAAGAACACGAGAACACCCCCCACCCCCCCGCCCCCCACCCATTCTTTATCCTGGGTTACCAAAAACCAGTCTTTACTGCCTGTGTGTGTGTGTGTGTGTGTGTGTGTGTGTGTGTGTGTGTGTGTGTGTGTGTGTGTGTGTGTGTGTGTGTGTGTGTGTGTGTGTGTGTGTGTGTGTGTGTGTGTGTGCATGCGTGCGTGCATGCATGTGTGTATTCCCTAGACAGCCCATTGATGTCTGGGCTCTAGCATGCATTCAGCTGTGTTAAATCAACAGACAGATTAAACACCAAATGACTGGGACTTACTGGACCCAATGAAACACCTCCTTTCTGCCATTTTTGTTTCCCAGAATTTCGTCTTTTCTCGCCCTCTCTCATTGTGTATGCACCGTGATATTTTATTGTTTGTATCTCACATTAGTCATATGCACCTTTAATTTTATTCTTCCTTTATTTAAAGTGACAAAGACAATAAAGAAACATTTTCCTCAGTAGGGTCACAGGAAGCTGGTGTCATCGAGCGAGAGGTGGGGACATCACAGGGACACACAGAGACAGCCAGTTACACACTCACTCACATCTAGAGACAATTTAGAGTCCCTAGAGTCCTAACTCGCATGTTTCTAGTCTGCGGAGATTCTCTCTCTCTTCTTTATTTCATCTTCATCTAATATCTCAGCCCGTTTCCTTGATCAAATCTTTGTTCGTTCTTCTTTGGCTCTCAGTTTCATTTCCTTCTTTTGTCCTCTTCTGCACCACTTTTCTAAATGTGTGCTTCAAATTCCAAGTTGGTCAAAATCAATTTATCATCTTGATAGGCGGGGATACTGACTCGATGCTGCAGAACCCGGCACGAGGAGACCTGTGACCTTAACCAGTCCTCTGCTGCTCCAAAAATATAAAAGAATACAAAGTGAATTCCATGATTGAACAAAGAGCGAAGACATGCACATAAATCAGATAAATAAAAAAACATTTCCTCTGATGTTTACTGGTCTGTCCATGCCTCCTCCATCACGTTAGACATCAGCGATACTGTTGTATTTACTCCATATATTTGATATGTATGGTGTTTAGCGAACCCTCATCCTTACCTTTTCTATAGACGTGTGACAAGATCAGTACATTTAGGCAGCATTTCACCTAATGAAGGCCTTTGAGGCAGAAGCACAACAAAAGGTGAAGACAAACCTCATCAGAAACATTTAAGACACACACACACAGACTGTTATGAATCCCCACTGTGAGGTCTCTAAACACCAAATCAGCTAAACACATCCTCACAGCTGTACAGCAGGGTTTAGATAATCAATTTGTCAATATTTAGAATTGATTTTTGGTTTGACCTTGCAGCAGGGTGTGTGTGCACATTGGGGGGTAAGTAAGGGCCAGATGTCTGTGTGTGTGCTTGAGTGTGTTTATGAGGATAGACAGGTAAAGCAGGGCTCTAAAATAGACACACTTTTAAACTAAATATCAGGAACAAGAGCTCGGGGAACGAGAATTAAATCTGTCTTTACCCATAAATGTAAGTTCACATGGAACTTTTTGGTTTTCAGGCACTGTGGATACATCAAGGCCAAGCAGGACCCTGATGAGGAGAAGATGCAGTTTCAACATGGCCGAGGTAAAGACACAAACACGTGCAGGCCCTCACAGGAACAAATGGAAACAGTATTAGTGTGACATTTGTCTCAAAACCAGACTTTCCACCCACCTGCGATGAATCACTTTGGTCTGTTGCAAAAGACGGACTCGGGAAAGGAATGCTCAAAAGAAAAAAAATCATCTTTTTTTCACGTTGAATAAAGATTCTTCAGTTTGCATGTAGCTTGTGCTTCATCATACCTGAGATATAGAACTAAGACTCTATAGAACTGAAAAGAGAAACTCTGCTTTTCAGGATATTATATTAATGTTTCTTGGCAGAGCGAAGCTTCTAACGGGTTCCTGTTAAAATGATGACTAATTCTGACACCATTGCTAACAAAAGTGCATCATTCTGTATTTATCTGTTATATCACTCACAGCGAGCGCCCACGTTTAAGAGCCAGTAGACTTAACTGGTTACAATAAAATCTATTAGTGAGAGAAAAACAGCTTTTGATGATTTTTGTCCAGGATGTTAAGAGAAAACTGCAAACAATTTAGATCATCTGCGTGTTTTCACCCCTGCAGTGAAGCTCCCAGGCAGCAGAACTTACATCCATCCTCACACCTATGAAGACCCCAACCAGGCCGTCCGGGACTTCGCTAAAGAGATAGATGCTTCCAACATCCGCATAGAGAGAGTCATCGGAGCAGGTGAGGTGACAGGAAACGACTGGGGAATTTCTCAGAATTGGGTTCAGTATTTTTATGATGGCTTAACGTAAGTGTGCATGCATGTGTGTGTGTGTGTGTGTGTGTGTGTGTGTGTGTGTGTGTGTGTGTGTGTGTGTGTGTGTGTGTGTGTGTGTGTGTGTAGGGGAGTTTGGGGAGGTGTGCAGCGGTCGATTGCGTGTCCAGGGAAAGAGGGAGATCTACGTGGCCATAAAGAGTCTAAAGGCCGGGTACTCTGACAAGCAGAGGAGGGACTTTCTGTCCGAAGCCTCCATCATGGGACAGTTCGACCACCCCAACATCATCAGGCTGGAGGGCGTCGTCACAAAATGTGAGTAAACACCAATCAGGGATGGAGCTCTGCTAACCCTAGCCTCCACTTCTTCTTTGTTTTGGTCATAGGTGTGTAGGTTTCTGTTTCCCACACCGTTTTTTTTAACCCAACAGAAGTAGTGGGGATGTAAATAAGAGCTAACCCTGGATCAGATAAAAGCTCCATTACCATGGTAATGCCACAAAGGCGTGAAGCGGCGTGCACACAGCGACGAGACTGTCTACCTCACAAACGGCCACTTGTTTACTTCACATGATTGTGTTTGGTCAATTAGAGCGAGGGTGTGTGTTGTTGGTGTAGGTGAAGCAGACGCGGGTCTGTCTCAACAAGATAGCTGATTCGTTATCGCTGCTCTCTCCATCCATCCTGCCTTCATATCCCTATCTCTCACACTCTCTCTCTCTCACTTTCTCTCAGCCGGCCAGTGTCTATCTAATCTTCTCATTCGGTTTCTCTGTTTTCGCTCACTGTCTCTTTCCATTCCACACTCCTCTTCTCGCCTTATCATTTTATTTCTTACTATTTGTCATTCTCCTTCAGTGTCAGAGTATGGACACGCTAAGCTGGCTCCAGGTTTTGGCGACAGTGATAACTCTGAACAGAAAACTCCAGCTCAATACCCCGGAGCTTTTGGAAATTCACAGAATTAGAAGAAAGCAGCAAAACAAACTAGTTACAGCTCGGCTTCACACAAGCGATCCAAAAATACAAAATAGTCAAGGATTTCTGTCACTATGAGGCACACCAACAGCAGGTAATAATAGATTTTACTAAGCAATCAACATTTTGATTTCAACATGACTCCCATTATCATCCTCCTACGCACGAGATTTTTATCAGAAACAGATCAAGAGCTGAGAGGCAGTAAATAAAATCATCCCTATATTCTGTTCAGCAGTGGGAATGATATCATTTTCTCTGGAAATTGTGTTTTGAACATTTTGATGTGTATTTCTGTGTTAAATGTGTAAATAATTTGCCTTACTTTTCGTAGATAGCCACCTGAACAGCCTCAGTTTGGAGAAAGTGCATCCGTAGCTAGTCTAAACACAGCCAAGACCGAAGTGTGTTGTCGCCATTTAAAATACGAGCGATACAATTTCTCAGTTTTCCATATAGACGTCAATTTTTAACTTATTTTCACAGAAACCAGCGATTAGTTTAGGTTAAGTGATGTTTTTATATTTATAAATGCTCAAATAATCCAATAATTGTTATTCCTGGATAAAAAGTTCAGTTATGCAAAATATCTGTTCTAAGTACTTCTATAGTTTTTCTGTGCTTGTACATTTTGAAACCTCTCACATTTATTCAGCTCTCCTGTAGAAATAAAACTGTTTATAAAGTCTTTCATACCAGCTCCACATGCCTGTAGCAACAACATTCTCACTCAATACTGGTTTTGTTAAAAAACAAACAACCGGTGAGTGATTTACAGTAACTGATCATTTTCTGCGTCTACACACGTGTTTTTTTAAGTTATGTATGATGCAGTCATTACTTTCACAGATTTATATTTCACTGGGGGTGCTGTGATCCAATCACGTGATCAGAAATCGGGCCAGATCATGTGATTTTCAACCAGCTTAGTGCAAAAGATTGGATTTTACTTTATTACCTTTTTAAATCCTCTTGAAAAAAAGATTTTCAAACTGCATAACAATGGCTTCCAATATATCTACAGTCTTTGTTTCTTGGATGATAACAAAATCGTGATGTCACACAATTTATGGCAGTGGACAATTCAGACACGCTAACATGTAGCTGTAAGCTAGCAGGCTAATGCATGGCTAAAGTGTTGCCTCAGCAGAGCAAAATGGTCTGCTGTTTCAAAGTGTTTTAAAGCGGACACCAAAGACAGCGCAACAGGCACCTATAGTGTGTTCATATTGGTGGAAAAGACAGAGCTGCAGGTTGCCTACAAAACAATTCCACAGTAAATCACCTGTGTCCATTAAGTCCTAGTCCGTCACTAATACCCCAGTTTACTGCAGCAACTTGGACAAAAACACGGAGCCAGCTGGAACTAAAAGATTCATTAATAAACAAAGAAATTGCAGACCGGCAGCAGAATGTCAGGTTTCACAGCAGTGCTATGAGTTACAGGTGTTCACGCCAGCCATGGCGCCACGTGCCTTGAGTCACATCACTTAATACAGCCACAAATTTAGGAAGTAAACCATTTGAAAATTGGGTGATGAGGCTACTTTTAAATATAGTTGTAATAATAACACTTTTATCATCAATGTACCTCCTAAACAAGTGATGTGTGTTGGGGGATAAACTAAGAAAATGACATTAATACAGAATGAAATGTAGAAATGACAATAAAAACTTAAAGGACAGCTTGGATGTGTTTTCCTTCAGAGGATCGGGCATCAGCAGATACTCAAGATCAAAAGGCTCAGGCTAGAATCAGTCGTAAAACAATGCGATAGGAACATCTCTAATAGTTCTCATTCTGGTCCGCTAATCCTTTGTCATTCCAATTTATTTGTTTAGTAGAGAACACTTCAGTCATTCTTTAAATTTTGTGTACTAACCTTCAACAATAACAATAAAAACAAAAAAAAAATCTAAAACGCAAAGTTTAAATACTATTTGTATTTTGTTCCTAATTAAAATGTGCATAAAATACCATGTTTTATTGATTTTCTTTTCATGACGTCTCAGTAGCAATTTCATAGCTTCTGCAGACTTTGTGCTGTTTCAGCTAAAAAACACAACAAGAAAGGTGTGACCCATAATCAGTAGCACTTGTATAAACACACCCAGTCTTATTAGGAAAGGTTGAGTTCAGCCCCCTCCCTCACTTTCCTGCTGCTCGGTTGCACGACTCTGTCATTCTTATGATCTGACATCTTGCTATGCAGATGTTTGTGAGAGACGTGCATTCAAACAAAAATGGGAAGGATGGAGGCGGTGCAGAGGGACTGAATTTTAAACACGCAGGCAGACAAATGAGGCACGGCTTTTGTCCTCATCATCCTCGCTCCTCTCTGCCACACACTCTGATCTTTGGTCCGTCGCACACAAGTGCTCTGCAGCGTCTAGGCCAGCAACAAAAGAGCAAAGGCACATGCCTCTGTCATGCATATTAATAATTAGGAAGTTTAATTGGGTGTTATTTTACCCTCATAAATATTCAGTAGCATGTGTATTATGAATGACACCCCACTGCATGGCTTAGTGGAATCTTTTTCTATTGTTTCACCCTCCTTGGAGAGATGTGCAACATGCAGATGTGTAATTATTGTACTGACTTTTGAATAACTCACAATTCTGATTTGAAATACCAAATACCAAAATAAATCCAATAATTACAAGTGCTTTGAGGTTCTTGACAGAGAAATGACATGGCTGACAGTAAAAAACAGCTAAACTACTTGAAAAGCTACTTATTTCTTCATAATAAAGAAAGTCTGATGCGCTCTTTGAATATGATGATTTTTGTTTGTGCATCTTCTTTTTAGAAAAATAACGAGCAGCCTGTCTTCTTCTGCTGGTGTCTCTTTGTCTCCCCCTTCTCACCTGCCTTCACGGCACATTGAAGAGCTGATAAAGCCCTGCAGAAACACATCTCACTAGCGGAGCAGTAATTTCACAGGTCACAGCCCAGGGTGTGTATGTGCGAGTGAGGGGGTGAGAGTTGAGATGGGTCAATAACTCCTTCAGGGCTTTTTTCTGCCACCAGCTGGTCCTTTCACACTGCCCTCAGTCTAATCAGACAGACTGACCTGACTGCTCTGGACTCAGGTGTGCAGGATTGGTTTGTGTAGGTGTAAGCAGAGTACAAGTAGTAATGGTTTAAGTAGGACTCAGTAATTGCTTTTTCTGCGGTAGTAAGAGTCAAAGCAACATCAAAGCTACTTCAGCAAACGCTGAAAGAGCTGAAGTAGCTTTGTTGTGATAAACAGAAAGTACGAAAGCTTTATCGTGTTTTACAAATCATTCGTTAAAGGTCAACTTTACTCCTGTTTTTAATAAATCTGCAGTGGTCTCTAGTTGGAATGAATGACTTGTAAGTCGTGCTCTAGGAGAAAAACCTCTGGTGCACCAGTTTGAGGACATAGAAATAAGCCAGAGGAAAAAGTGGCTTCAGATGACAGGACACCTCGCCTCTGATTGGCTAACAGCAACATGACTTTACCACCGACTCAGTTTTCTTTGCAACGTTGATGACTTTTCTACACAAATAACGCAAGCCTGGAGGAGTTGTGCTGTGTGATTCAGTTGCTAACGCTAACAGTTTGTTTCTACTAGTCGAGGTGTGCTCTGCTGTTTCCTGGATGCTAAAGATGGGTAAGTCCATGAATGTTAATTGACAGTCTATCAGAAGCTAATGCAGGAAATAGGGGTAGATGACTATTTTCACATTCAGCCCGCAGGCTAAACTGATCATTTAAAAAAAAAATTATAAATAAAAAAAGGCTTCTCAGTAAACTTTTTTTAAATATTTCTAAATAGTCATTTTAAAAATAAACATGTGAAGACCGATTTCACTAAATGTGGTAAGATCTGTAGAAGCATGGCCAAATTCAACACTTGTAGTAAGTAACCATTCACATTTTACTCACAACAAACACATCAACAGCAGGGCTCTGCCTCTTTTTGTCACCCTCTTTCCCATTTGGTAAACAATTATAGACAAACACTCATAAGCAAAATTATTTGCAACAACAAAAATAAAAGAACACAAGTTTATTATTATTTTGCCATCAAAATCAGCAATTAAAGCATAAAAAATTCTTAGTTGTTTGTGAGCAATAACTCACAAACGTAGCTAGCTGTGCTGCATTGCTAACAGTAGCTTGGATATGAAAAACAAAAAGATCATATTTTTCAAATATGTATTTTTTTGTATTTTAGGTACAAATGTGGCATTCTTTGTCGCTGCTTGTCTAAAGTTACTATTGAGTTAAGTTGCAATATTCCAAAGTAACCACAGGAGGGCGAAATACTCTCTGCAACAAACTTGAACAAAATAAAAATTGAAG